TGACTTGCAGATTTTCATGGGACTTAATGAGGTAAAAGCCCTCGAGAAATCTCCTCTGTTTGCTGCCTCAATCCATGTTCACCCTGAGTACAACAACCCCAACTATGTAGACTACAACAATGACATTGCACTGATCAAACTGAAAGACACACTCACATTCAACTCATCGGTAATGCCAGTGTGTTTGCCAGAACCAGGAGCCACATATGATACTGGTGTGATGGGGTAAACAAACTGCTATTGTGTCAAAATGATTTTGAAGTCTCTTTAATGTCATCTACACTGTATAAAATTTGATGTTACTTTTAAGTGCTCTCATTGTTTGTTAACCAATTTAAGTTGACAAGCTATTATCTTTAAGGTTCTGGATTAGTAAGAATTTTACTGAGCCCACAATGAATGTGTTTTGTATTCTTTCAGGCTGGTGTCTGGCTTTGGTGTTACAAACGAGAATAATCGTCGCATTCTAACAAATCAACTGAAGTATGTTTATCTCCCAGTGGTGGACCAGCAGACATGCAGGGATTCAGTCACTTCGGCAAGGAGAAGAAATAACAACATACCAGACTTAACAAATAACATGTTTTGTGCTGGACTCCCTGAAGGTGGGAAGGACTCATGCCAGGGTGACGCTGGGGGCCCCTTCACTCTGACTAAAGATGGGCGACAATGGGCTGCTGGGATTGTCAGCTGGGGGGTTGAGTGTGGAGGAAAGGGCACATATGGAGTCTATACCAGAGTCGCTAATTACCTGAACTGGATCAAGAAGACCATGCAGGAGAACTAAAGTTACAGTAATTCAGAACAACACGGTGTAAATACACGATGAGGAAAAACATTTGGACAATAAATATTATACTATTTTCGCTCTGCTGTGGAGTTTGATTTGAGAATTTTTAATCTATATTTCACTAAAAGCTCAGTTTTTGATTTTCCGCTTTCTGGAAACAACCACAAAATACTGTCTGAAAGTCGGTGCATAGTCTTTAAATCCCTGTAACGCCTGTATTTTACTGTGTTTGAATAAAGATAGTTTATGCAGATCTGCATGTGTTTTTTTCTTGTGTCTAAGATTAATCAAATCCTCCCACTTTGAAAATGATAAACACATCATCAGTCATTTCATCCCACTCTAACA